GCTTATTAGAGGGGGGCTTATTAATTTAGAACTCAATAAAGAACTCAATTTTATGATCTATCTCTCTCAATGAACCTTGTTTTATTAGCCGTGTTATATTTTTAGCATTGCTCTGTAATTGCCGTATACCATAATTGTTCTAGTGATGCCAACAAGATAACATCAATCAATCAATCAATCAATCAATCAATCACCATAATCAAATTTAAATGACAAACTAAACCTAAAATTACAGTACTTGAATAAATTTATTGTACTTAATAGAAGCTTAATAGAGGGGGGGCTTAATAAATTTCTTCCTCTAAGGAGGGGGGGTGGTGCTTATAAGAGGATTTACAGTATGTACATTTACATTTAGACTACAGTAAGAATAGAGTTTCAGAGAGAATCATTTTATTGATGTATTTCAGAGACAGGAGTATCGATCAAAACGTTCTGCACAGACATCGCTTCCTTCCAATGCAGTATCACACAGATTACTGCCTGTGAGATTGGATTGTACTTTTTCATCACGAATAAAAGATGTGAGTTTCCACCATGCCAACTTGCAAAACATGAACTTATACCCAAACCTTTCATGAAAAGCTAATTAAGTGGAATTTGTCCAATTTAAGACACTAATATCTGATTTTCGATACTACTGTCCAACTTTAGACACTAGTGTCTGACTTTAGATGCTAGCATCAGACCGTTGACACTAGTGTCCAACTGTAAAAATTAGTGTCTGATTTAGACACTTGTTGTTGAATTTTGAATTTTGCTGATTTTGGACAGCAGAGTCCAATTTTGGACACTAGTGCTGATTTTAGCCACTTTTGTTTGATTCTGGACACTGGTGTTCAAAATCAGATACTAGTGTCTGATTTTGGCCTATAATGAGCTATGACCTATATCTGAGTGGAAATTTTCTGTTGACCGCCATATTGTTTAGAGGCCTTTGGTACTGAGAGGTAAAATTCCTTTATTGTCACTCCCTGTAGAGAATTGTTTCCCTATATGCAGTAACTCAACACCAACTAGTTTGCAATGGGGTTTGTTGTCATAAAATAGATAATCTGGTAATGTTTCAGGCCTAGGCTGGTGTTATTGCTTTTTTGAGTTTGAAATTACCGGTAGCTACAAAATTTTAACTAGTTTATTTAATATCATTCATTGTGTTGTCAGGTGTGTTGCGGCAATTGGCATTACATGGTAGTTATGGAGTCTGGTCAAGTTTACAGCTGGGGATATGATGATTATGGACAACTGGGACTTGGTGGGAAAACGGAACCACAGGTCTATCATTAGCTTAATCTGACATTTTAAATTGAAGCAATTTTTGATGATGAAACAAAGCTCTTAGTTGTACACAAGTCTTTATTACATCCATTTTGAAATCACTGGTGGTCCCTGTAATCTGATTGGCTCTAATTGGTGCGATTTATTCATGAATCGCACTATTTTTTGTTCTAAATTGCTTCATTTTACGCTTGACTGAGTTTTTGAAGCATGACGTCAGTCTTTCTGTTTTGCATACAAAATAAGATGTAAAAGCGTTTCTGGTTCCACGTATTATTTAAAGACCGGCTCAGTACTGCATCAGTAAAATATTTGAATTGACCAAGTCCCTGTATTTGGGCGATTTCAAAATGGATGTAAAAGTGGTAATATTGAACCTCGTGTTGTGCAATTTTGGTCTGAAATCATACTTGTGATTTCAAATCGAACGAGCACTGCGTGCTTGTTCGATTTTGAAATCACGCATATGATTTCAGCCTAAATTGCACTCCACTCAGTTCAATTACCAGTATTTAACACATATTGCAAAATTTTTAGTTCCACTATTTTTGGCCTATAATGAGCTATGACCTATATCTGAGTGGAAATTTTCTGTTGACCACCATCCCGTACAGGCCTGAATTTTTTTCAGGTCTGATTTTCACTATTGCTTAAAATTAATAGTGCTTTACTCCGAAGGATCGTGCACATATACGTTCCACTATTTTTCTTTTTGCCTTCCATCAAGCTTCATATAGGCAAGGTGCTATGGAAAGCTGATGGGGGGCCAGAGTGGAGGGGGTGGGGGTCTTAGAAAAAGGTCCTAATATAAGTAAATTCTGACTGAAAAACGATCATGCACTGTCTTTTGCTCATTCAAACAGAAAAACCTATCAGCAACTATATATAATGTCAAATTTGAACATGTATGAAAGTATGAAAGTTAAAGTGTTTGTAATTTTTAAAACTATCATCAACTATCATAACTATTTTAACCAGGCTTTGACCCTTTAAATCCCAAAAGTAATAAATAAGATGACACTAACTTCTCTCTACAATATGCATACATTATACTGCAAACAGGTATCGAGAATACTCAAACTTATCAGGTAGAAGTTGTTATCACGATCTAACACTTAATTCTCGTAACTAATTTACAAAGGAAGTTGTAGCTGAGAGATTGGAGAATTAACTGTGAATCAGATCTTGGGAGTTAAATGGTTAAGAACCAATGAATCTGTCTAGGTTCAAACCAGATAATTTATGCAACTTTTCTTTGTGAGCTGTCACTAAATTTATGTATAAATTCTTTTTAAAAAGATGACCCCCAGACTACTTCACAAGCTCTCGAACAAGAGCATTACTACTGTAAGTGTTGGTGCAGAGTTTTCTGTTGCTATGGATACAGCTGGATATGTGTGGGTATGGGGGCGAACTGACTCAGGGCAGGTAAATAAATTAAATGCATATTAGATTGTGAATGAACATGTGGTTCTTTTTTTTTTTAACTCCTTTTGCTTGCTCTTAAGCCTACTCCAATATAACTTTTACTCTCTGTGCCTTTACATTATTAAGCACATTCCCTTTACTATTTTCTGTACATTTTCTGAGGCGCTGACAAGGAGAATTGATTAAAAATCAAGAACTTCTTGGATTGGTGATCATTTTCTTTTATTCTCATAACCTTGATGTTTGATTCAGGGGTCACGGTTAGCTCAATTGGTATAGCGCCAGACTGTTGTGCGGGAGGTCAAGAGTTCAAATCCAGCGGGACCAACACTCAGGGTCTTTACATAACTGAGTAGAAAGTGCTGCCTTTGTAATAATATCTGCAAACGGTTAGACTTTCTAGTCTTCTCGGATAGGTACGATAAATGGAGGTCTCGTCTCACAAGCCCTTATATGTGATTTAAATTTGTGGGACGTTAAAGAACCCACACACTCCTCGAAAAGAGTAGGGCACTTAGTGCGCGGTGTTGTGGTCTATCTTTGTGCAGTGTCTATCCAGGGTGAATTGGGGGAAGGGGTGGTGCCTCGCATGGACCTTGTGTTCCGTTCGCACTAACCCTTCCGGGTCTAGTCACACCTGGTAAAGTCGTTAAAACAAAACAAATAAAACAGATATTTGTAAGGAGAAATTAGATGTTAGTCACTCGTAGTGATTAAAGAGTTATCTCAGAAAATGAATGCAGGTGTCCATTATTTTAAAGTATCATGAAAAGTTGAATTATTACGATATTATGCCATCAGGTGATTTTTAGTACATACTTCCTGTTTTCTATTTTCTACACCTCCTTTTGATCTGATTTTAAGTTTGAGTTATTTTACTGTTAGCTTGGTTTAGATTTTGGTACCACTGGTGTTGGCAAGAAGGAAGTTTCTGTGCCTTGTCAGTTGACTAGTCTACCCCCTATGAATAGAAAGGCCTCCATCTCAAGTGAGGTACAATTTTTCAACTTCCATTTCATTATTTTTTTCAAATTGTTTGATGATTTTTTAGCCC